AATATTTTAAAACTTCGAGGATATTGTAATTTCATACGAGAGTCATTTGATATCTACTCGTAATTACCTTTTACTTTAAGGATATGTCATTTATGATAGGTTTGTTTATCGTGTTATTAGAGATCTGCTTCTTTAGATCAACAATTTTCTTGATTTTTAACATGTTATTTGAGAGTATTTTCCTGCTATTTTCTAGAGTGTTTACTTATTTGCTAATAGCTTGAAGGACCTGTCTATCATCCTAGGCTAGTGTCCGATGTTGCATTAATGGTTACAAAGTACTTAATATGAAATTAGTAATGATCTCTTTTATGCTCGAAGTCTAATAACATTTAATAGCAAGGTTTATATATGAAAATGCATTTAGTACCGAATCAACAATGTAGTATTGTAGGACTTTACGCTAGAAGCAAGATATATCTTTTAAAAGTATTTTTCTGTACTTCGTCATTTAAAAGTTGACGTTGTTAATTTAATTCGTAATTAAACCCTTTTAGGGACCGTGTAACGTTCTACATTTAATTTTCTATTTGAAATTGAAAATGCAAAATATAAAAATGCGTGACCATTTTTGAATTTGAAATTGGGAAGTTTAAGCGATTAATCCAAAATAGCACGGATTTTGTGTTCTTGTTGCGAAAATCGATTATCCAAAATACGAAAACTATCGGATTGAGATTATTGAGTTTATTTGCAAGTTTGTTCGTTTGTTTGTTCTGGCTTGCTTTGATATAAACATTTTGCTTAAAAGCTATCTTTAATGAAATCTGGAGAAAAGGCATCGTTTTAAAAGGGGGGTTCAACGCGAGAGAGTAAACATTTTCGACAGGTTATTGCTGGGGGTTATTGGTGGATTCTGAATGCCCGAGGAGGGTGGACACGGGGAATAAGTAGACAGACGACTGGTTACCAAGCTATTGAAAACATGATGGAATCAGAAGCTTCAGAAGAGTACTCGCACAATGTGGTTCTGAAAACCGTAAGAAATACCACAAAGAACCCTTTATGTATTAGAAACACTTCTAGGGATTTAAGAGGTTCGCTGAAACTCAGGCTTAGTGAGCGCTTACAGTTCTTTTCGTTGATATCGATCGACGAAATTCAGGAAGGAACATGCACGTCGAACACTGTCAGGTGAGTTTTTTTTATTCAAAGCAATTTAATTTAGTAGTTACGTTTCATATGCTGGTGCTGAGTAATCTTTGAAAAAGTACATGACACTGTGAAATAGTTTTYAGATTATATAATTTTAAAATGGATTTTTATAAGACTGAAATTAGTGTGTTACGGAGGAGAAAATCAGAGCTTTCCACCTTTTACCTTAGTTCCATTTAAGCTTTTAATTATCATGGCCACCTATTATTACTACACACACACATGGAAAGTGTACGCATATTTGATGATCCATGCATGTGTCACAATAAACAAAGTCAGGTGTTACGGAGGGGAACAGAAAAAAAGGACTTTTTGAAAGTTTTTTTKGGGGGGTTAAAATCTTTCTGAATTTGCTGTATTTCAAGAAACACTTTTTACCTCTATAACATAGTACTTTTATCCAGGAAAGTTTTGTCCATGATTTTAAATTCTTAACAAAAACAGACATTGAAACAACACAAATGAGTTTTTGTTTGATTGAAATGTATCATTGAAATTATTTCTCAAATTTATTGCCACAAAAAATCAAGTATTATGACATTTTCAAGAAGTTAACAAATTTGCCCCACTAAATGTTTTCTATAGATTTTGTAGTTTTGAAATACTAATATCTCGAAAAAAATTGTAATAGGCATTTGCACTAAAATGTTCAGGTTTTGTTACAGATATAATCTTGAATTATATGAGTTCAGATTGCTTATTTTTTGAATTTTATATTTTTTGATGTTACAAACAAACTATGCCCACCTATACTATACAAGATCTAAGGAAAACCGTTGACATATTCATCTTTTACAAGCCAAAATTTAATAGAAATACTCCTTATTTACAAGTATTTAATAAGGTAATAAGCTACTGCTTCTTAGTAGAGGTTGTTGTTTTTGCTAGAAAAATGAAAAAAAAGTGATAATTATGAAAAAAAATAATTATTAATGGTCAATGCTCACATGACTTTGCTATAAAAATCGACTGTAGCCAATTAACAATTGGTATGTTTACTCACAAGTTTTAAATAAGTCTATTGTTGGCTAAAAATAGTGTTAAAAACATTTTTTCCCTCTCCATAACATACTATGTATCTAACATGCTGCATCAGGTCCACAGGAAGCCCAAATGTTATCAGTGTATGCTTTTTGGTGACCAAAAAGACATTCATTTACAAAATGTGTATCTGTGATCTCATCAGGATGCATTTCTAGCCATCAGAGGCACKCGCATGTTCAGATTGCATACAGCATTGAGTAGTATGCTTTATACTGAATCATTAACCTTTCAAGGTGTATTATACTCTGATAAAAACACGCGGGATGTGGGGAGAACACGAGAGAAGCGTGGGAAACATGACACGAAGCAGTGATCTCTCCACATCCCAAGTGTTTTTGTATAATACATGGAAAACTGTTTTTTATTGCTTTTATAAAATAACAAGCACTCAAATATTCATGAAAAAAAAGCAGAGAAAAAAAAAATGATGCGAGTGTGTATTATGCTCTCATCAAACATGGCTTTTTGGCCAATCAGAGCGCACGTAATATGAAAGTTATTTTATAAATATAATCTTCTTTTAATAAATAAATAAACAAWGGTTTTCTGTACTGCCAAAGTAACTCTGACACTACTAATATTCTCTTTGTACCAACTTTGACCAACTTTGTATTCATGGCAAACAACTAGTAGATCATGACTAATAAGGAGTAAAATGTATGTTCATTTCAAATATTGTTTTTTTGTTTGGAGTTTCAAAAGAAGATTTGTAAAGAAGACAATTGACTGAAAAATTGCATAAATTTAAGTATAACACTGCAATAACAGTTTTTGATTCAGTAATTAAAAGGGCTATTTGAGTAATCCCTGTTGGATACTTACTGTATTTTAACTTCATATTTTCTTCCAGATTATACCCTGATATGAACTGGGATTTGAATGGAATTGGACAAAATTGTGAACTTCTCCTTAAATAGGGAGACTTAGTTAAGGCAAGAAAACTACATTTCATGATTTGAGTCTGCAATACACTAGTATGTTTAATGAACTTTCAGAGTGTTTTAATGTTAAAAGTACAGTACTGATAGTAATCACCTATAAATTTTATACATGTACTATCTTTTAAGTTCTATGAACTTGACATAAAACACTGATTGTTATGAAATACGAAATAAGATATTATACATGGTACAAATCTATCAAATCTACAAATCAAATCTAAGTCTCCCTGTTTATGAAACTGTATAATGTGAACTTTTTCATGTGTCCAATCCTAGGGACCTATGATATGCATAAAAAATATTATTAGAGATCGATGAATAAATCATAATTTGTTTTGTATAACTGATAAAGTGATGTTTTAAACACAACGGCAACACAACTTAAAAAAGGGCAATCTCAAAACAGCTGYTTAATACATGCAAGCAGTGACCAGAATTCCTATTCACCCTGTGGCCAACCTCTAATTCAAAAAGGGTGATAGAGGTACATGTACCACTGTAATGATTACTTCAAATTGATTCGTATTGACAGCCTCTTATGCAGCCAACCGAGGTGACGTTATCCAATAACCCTCACAGGCATCAGAAAACAGGAAGCTCAAATCTATAAAGAGGGAAAAAGCTGGAGATATGCCACAATAGAAGGCTACTGAGTGACTACATCTTTTTCATCATTATGTCCTTTGCTGTTTTGCCACTATGGTAACATTATAATTACAGACAACAGTGGTTCACCTTTCAGAAGACMAGACTGCCTTTTATATATGGTCATAGTTTTTTTWRGAAAAAAATTAAGAAATGCTCCTTGTTGGGTGCACATGTCTAATCTTTCAAAAAAGACTTTCTAAATAGCTTAGTTATCTTTTTGGTTAACACAATCCATTGACTTGGACAAATATTGGTGGTTTTCGGCTTTGCCCGACTAGCTTGTTACATAAAATGATTCAACTGTTCTACTTTTTTATGTGAATTTAATTTTTTGATGTTTCATCTGCAATCTGAACTGTAAGAAAGTGCTTTCAATTGTTAGGATGAACTTCACTTCATGCGACGTATACACAATTAATACTGAATGTAAGAGCTGAATACCTTCTCATTTGTCAAGTCTTTTTTGTTTATTATCTGAAATATGATGGAAATAATGTGCTGACATCATGCTTCACCAAAAGTTGTTGACTTGCCAAAAAAGAAGTCTAATGACTCAGAAAACCACAAATATTTTACTTAATAGAAATAAACTGAACTTAACATAATTAACATCCAGACTTTATGGAAACCATGATTAGACTACTTGGTCAACTTGGCCAAGATATTGTCTAGACTTCTGATTGGGATTGTTTTGCTAACTGCATTTTCTCTGCATAAAGGACATGTTTCATTTTCATTTAACCATGTCTGAACGCAGTTTCCGCAGCCCAATATTTGGCTGCAGCAAATTCCAAAAACTAGTGTTCCTGGTGAGGGAACAATGTTACACATTTGACAAGTTAAAGTACCTCTCACCACATTAATGATCTCACTGGACCCCATGGCATCACTTATCATGTCTTTCAATACTGAAAGATCCATGAGATCAGTTTTGATAGTGCTCTTAAGTTCGGCAATTTTGGTGATCACTCTTTCAGCAACATCCTCTATCTTTTCTTCAGTTTCTGTCAGACTAASTTCAACTCTATTACTATTATTAGCCATGTCCTCATTAATGGTCCTGCACAACTTAACAGTCTCCTGTTGATGGGCCAACAGAGTAGTGATGTCTTCTTGCATGTCGTCTACTGATGTACATGTAGATGATCTAAATAAATTGTTGATAATTTTTTTAGGAATTGCCTTCTAGAACCACTGAAGGAAGAAACTAATAAGCCCCACACACAGCATCTCCTTATATGACTGTGTTAACATACATCTAATTGATGGGATAAAAGTTACCTTTTCCTCTTGTGCACCCTTTCTTCTCTTTTTTTTGCAATATCATGATATCTGCTGATTTTAACAGCCAGGAATTTTTTAGCAGATGGCCTCCAAAAATCGAAGCCTATCAAAAAATATTTAATTGTATTAGTAAAAAAAACAAACAATTCAAACAACTAGTTGTAGCTTTAATAAGACTTACTCTGTTTAAATCACGACGTTTTGCAATTGCAATTCCAAAAAGGTTGTCGATTAAATTTGTACTCATATACATTGTATATTGTCATGAGATTCATGAAATACCTGAGGGGTGTAKAGGTGTATCACAAAACATCAACTCTCATTTTTATCAAAGCACCACCAAGACAGTTAGCAAAGCAGCAAAAGAGAGGTCTCATAAAAATGGAGATTCTGCKAAAGAACAGTTGCCATTTTCAAGCACTTCTACTGCGTTTATGCAACATCGATCAATTTTGTGTACATTTTTGTTTGAATGGTCAGTTTTGCAGTAAATAAATTAATTATGATAGACGTATACTCAGAAGATTTTTGTTATGGGTTTTGTCTTCCTTGAAAATTACTTGAAATATATCTGCATCTCACTAGGTATTTTATGAATATGTATACAAGTGCATATTTCAACCCACAACACCTTACTTGCAAATGACTGTGTATATTAAAATTTATTCAATATAACTGTTAGGTTCATACCCCTTGTTTCTGGCTGGTCTGGTATTTCAAAACCAGATCCGTCGCAAATAATATATGACTCCTGTGTGTTTGTAAACTGCTTTATAAGCTCTGCAATTCGTCCTTGATTCGCATCTTTTTCTTCAAATTGGACGTAAGCCGATCCTGTAATAACTGGCTTGAAGTTATCATCAAAGTCAKCCAATAATATTGACCTGGTCATTGTTTTCTTGTCTTGGCGGGAATTTGCACCAAGTGGCATGTGTCTTTGCTGCACAATTGGTTTAGGGAAAGTACTGTAATTTCTGTAATTAAAGACCACAAAAATTTAATTCGGTGGTAGTGTTAGAGATCGCCGGAGGTGCAGCATGAAACAGATAACTTGACAAGCTAGGTAGTGAAGAGGTATAATAACACAGAGTGTAAGAAGTCTCTGTGACAGTCTGTGACTAAAAACAGTCCAGTCAAAAACAAATTATAGCAATTATACCTAGAAGGTCCTCCCCCATGATAAGTTGCAGCAGAAGGTCCTGGAAAGGAAACATGTTGTTCAATGTCATCCCCTTCAACTGTATAAATCGCCATATCCTCCATATCCAAAGCATCAAATCGTCCATTGCTATCAGCAAAATAGATGTTCCTCTGAATGTCTTCAATGTATACTGTTTCTTTGACTACCTACGAAAATGATCATTTTGAGCACAATATTAAGTTAGGAAGCTGTCATTATTTATTGGCCTGGAGGTCCACTGGTTTTGTGGGGGGAGGGTCTTTTTAATTATGCAGGGACAACACATTTATTCAATTTTTCTGACAACTTTTGACAGAAGTGCTTGGGTTTTACTTTGACTTAGTCTTAGTGCATTAAGATCAAATATTAAAGGGCAACTGAACACATCATATGACGGCACAGTATTAAAATGCTGCAGCGACTGTATTATTGCTGTATTTTGCACGTTACTGTTTATCCGAGCACCCGACGCTTTTTGGCGATAGTAGCCCGATTCCGCCAACAATTTCCGATTACATCCGTGATAAAAACCACGTGGTATGATGGCCGATCATGCTGAACATTTTGTTATTCTGAGGGTGACGCACTCCCCAAACTTAACAAAAGGTTACTTTGTGGGCAAAAAGTTACGATTGAATATTATAAGACCCGTGAAAAGAAGAAGAACGAAAATATGTCCATATATTATAATTTCAAGTAATTATTTATCATGTGTGAAGTTAAAACGTGTTTCAAATTAATTCCTGTGAAATATGCCTGACTGTTCCGATTTCGCGAAAAAGTCCTCGTGAAAATCAGTACGAATAACGGGTAGTGTTTTTCTATTCCGTAGAATTGCTAGTTTTCTGTTTTCGTTTTGCTATTTGCAGACAGCTGCAAGGTTCTCTTTCAAAGCTTTTCTTGCAACTTTACAASTAACAGATGATGAAATCGCTTTTATAAAAAATATTACTTTGACAATGCTAGCAGTCCGATGAGCAGTTAGCTATAGAGATTTGAGGATTAGAACTCTCGGCGGTTGATCCGTTCGATCATAAGCCCTTACCTTAAACAAGTTGCATATTCTGTCAAGGTTCAAGTCGTTTTCGTTGATGTGCACGCGTTTATCCCGTCTTGTAAGGATAAGTGTTTTCCCAAGCCTAAATGCCATGATTATAAAGAGATAGTGAAGTCTTAAAGTTGTACCGGTTACAGTAGCGAAGACAATCAGCACACTTGAAGTCTCCAAATAGAACTGCAATGGTCATCARACAGTAGTGCACGTGAACACATGATTRCCARTCGTGGGAATAGCTCTTTTTGATTGGTTCTAGCGGTTAAGATTTGTGTTAACCCAGACAGTTGACGCCTTTATGTCGAACATTCTTTTTCAGCCAGTTTTTTCATTTCCCTTTTGCGGGTAGAGGCTCTAGGAGTATAAATTTCACCCTATGTACACATGATTTGGTACCAAGATCCTCCTAAAAAAAACTCCGACACTAATTTCAAGCATATCTCTTGCTAAATTGCATGAATAGGAGGTATACGACATTTCAGTGAATTTGTTGAAAAATTCACGAAGTCACTTTTTTGTATTATGTTTATTCAGGATATCGAATAAASGAATTTAAAGCATTTAGTTTAAGCCTAAAGCAATCTTTTGAATAACTTGCAGAAGTATAAGATTAATTCAATTCATATAGGCGGGTCTTTGTTTACAAAATTTTGCTAATTAGCATAAATTTTAAATTAAACAAATAAGTATAATAAGTTTGTAACGTAAAAGGTCTTATAAAGACCTATAAACTACGGACGTTTGACGTGTTTACATGCTGAGTACATACAAAATTGAGCAGTTTACAGATATATAAATAATTGCCACCACTGAAAAAACGCCTMAAATCGGAAAATATACCAAGTTTGATAATAATGACTTAAAAATTCACGAGATACGTCAGATTTAGAAAGAAATGTACGCGTGATTTTGAGATTTTACAAACCTCACTATATATTTATTTGTAAATTTTAGTGTTTTTGAAGTGCTGCATCTTCATGACTTTAAGTTTATATTGTAGGCCGTTCTTTTCAGTAGTCAGTGGTAATTATTTTTTCAATATAACTGTTCAATTTTAAATGGTCGAAGATATGTAATGTCCTATTCAGGAGAGGTCGCTTTTGAGGGAGTGGTCCCTAGAAGAATCGRCAGTATCCCACTGATTTGAATGAGCTTAAAAATGGCAAAAACGTCAACCCYCTCTAGGATAAACCCTCAGAACGGATTTWGWAACCCAAAAATYTCCTWGTAACACTTGTACCGTGACTATAGTAGATATCACTGAATCAGAACAATCATGAAAACAAAAGACAATACACAAGAGACTTGACAACTGTCATCTTTATTTCATGTACAATCAAGACAAAAGACATAAATAACCACACAAGAAGCAAAGAAATAGGGAGTAGGGTGCCAGTGATTGTATCTGCTAGATCACGATTTCAGTGCTAAAATAATGTACCTTTAGTTTGGGGTAGGGTGTGTAAAATCACAAAAATTGGTCTGGGACAGGGTAAGGGTTTTGAGGGTCGTGCCGCACACACCCACCCAAGTTGGGGAGGTAGTCCCCCCCCCCCGGGGGTGCCGCAGCAAAAATTATGGCAGAAGCCATTGCTATCTATTTCACTTTCACCCTATAATCAAATAAACAATAACATTTGACCAATCAGAGAGCGCGTACTATGATAGCTATAATAAGAACTAAACCAGCTCTTAATTTCTTTCCTTGTGGGTGGGACATTTTATTAATAAATTCCTCCTTCTTTGTTAGGTAATTTTTAAAATAACGTTGTTTGTCGCTAAGTCTCTTGTGCCATAACCTTTTCTTTTTCAAAATTGTTTTGGTTCAGTGAATATCTACTATTTTCTACAATCAAATCAGTAAATAAAACCTAATAGGTAACTACTTCTTTGATTATGTTTCATGGTACAAGTGTGATGACTCTACTACATTGTAGGTCAGCAATCGATTACTGGCAGGGTTAGTCAACCCGTTTAGATGAACTGAACCCGCTGTAACCGATTGGAAAGAAAAAGCGCTATAACGGGTTTAAAATCGAAAAATCTCTTACAGTACTATACTAGGTCATCAACTATCTATAGCGGGTTGGTCAACTGGTTAAAGCGGGTTGGTTTGTGACGGCTTGCTAACCCCTATTTTTTAAAAAAATTAAATATTTGGATGAGTGTGGGATTTTTCAAAAAATATGTAACTGCATTGGGAATGGGATTAGATCCCCTGTCCATTTGACCAAAATTATGACTTGAAGAGTCAATAAGAAGACATGCAACTGAAAACAATAACCGTGCGCAATTTGCCAAACATAGTTTAAAGATAACAGAGAACTAACTTACAAATTCTAAGACAAATGAAAATGTGATAAAAACGTATTTCAAATAAACAAATGCCTCAATATCAACTCCTTCTAATGCCAGCHGGGTTGGCTTGTCCCCTTAATGCACTAGTCAATTGAAAACCCGGCCCCCGGGGAATACCGGGGAATTTAACGTTTGAGTGGTGTTAAAATGAAACATTTCCCCCGGTAGTGGCATGGGTGACCTAGTTGCTAAGCTGCTGGCCTCTCACCGCTGTGGTCCGGGTTCGATTCCTGGGCACGGACCATATGTGAGTTTGAGTTTGTTTGATGTGTTGTTCTCTCCCTTGCCACGAGGGTTTTTCTCCGGGTCCTCCGGTTTTCCTCCCTCAGCAAAAATCAACATGTGAGGAGKGTTRTGTGCTAAAATACTTAATGTAGAGGTAGTGAGTGTGGGAGTATAGAGGGCCACAAGTTCATCAATTCTTTACTGGCACGTGTTTACCCTCTTAAAACAAAGTTGATTTATTTTATTATTTATTTATTGGTAGTCGGGGGCACACTCATTGTTAAAATCCCCGCTACTGTTGCCCCGCTATTTTGGTCTAGTAGTAACTAACAAAACAAACACCTTTTAATCAAATTTTCTGTGATACACAGGGTTAGTTTTTGCACAATCCTTTGTACTCATTTGCATACTACATGAGGCTAACTGGACGGAGAAAAACGTGTGTATTAAGCGGGGTTGAATATCAATGCCTTCAGGGTATTGCCGACCTCTAGTTTCCAGCCTCATACATGTTCAAACAAGCGTTAAAATCTCCGCCCTTTTGCCGGCTTCGAAAACAATTCATCAAAATCCCGACCCCCCGGATCAATCTTGCTGTTAAAACCACGTTAAAACGCATCACGTCCGCGTTCAGTGCCCCTCTAGCCCTGAGGGTCGGGGTCGGGGGTTTCAATTGACTAGTGCATTAAAGTGACCTCAGGATTTAGTTAGTGCTGCCGAATATCTGATATTCAGGTAGAGCATAGGGGTTGTTTTTATTTTGCAATGACATTGAAGAATGTAATAAATAAGTAACTCATGATCAAGCAATATTATTTACTGATTGGGAGATCCGGTCAAATGACCGTACAAAGATAAAATATCATCCCGTACAGTCTGATCAAACTCAGCCACTTAATCATTTGAACCATGAGAACAAACATTGAAAAGCACCGGTGAAAGAGCGAAAAATTCGAAAGCAAGCGCGACTTCTTTCGGAGGCTTTTATTAGGCTTGCGTGAGCGTCTCCGTACAGAGATTTTGCGGATCTGATCGAGTATCCGTATGCGGTCAAATTCGAGATTTTTGTCGATAATTACATATTCAACCCGATTAATCGCTGGATGTGGCTTTATTTGACGACAACCTCCATTGCGCAAAGACCTT